TACGACTACGACTTCGATTCTTACTACTACAATTTCCACTCTCGCTACTACTACTCCTACTATATACGATTACTTCACTGCTACTACTATTTTCCTACTACTACTATTACTACTACTGCGACTACTACCTACGACGACTACGACCACGGCTACTACTACATCGACGATTACTACAACTAGTATTACTACCACGAGTCGTATGATGATTATTATTATTAATGTTGCCACTATCATTATTATTTCTACTACTACTACGACTGCCACTACTACTACGACTACTACTACGACCAATACTTCGAGTACTACTACCACTATTGTTGCTATTACTAATGCAGCTACCATCCATATTATTTGTACTACTATTACTACGATTACGAGTACTACTACGACTACTATTACAACTACTAGTACTAGTACTACTACGGCTACTAGTCCTACTACTACATTTACTACTACTACTACTACTTCTACTACTACTACTACTACTACTACTACGGCGACGACGACGACTACTACTACTACTACCATTACCACTGCGACTGCGAGTTGTACCACTACTGCGACTACGCCTACTGTTGTATTGTTGCGAGTACTACTACCACGACTTCTACGACTTATTTCTACCACGTCTACTACAAGTTTCGCCACCATTGCCACTACTAGTGCGACGGCTTCTACCATTACTACTACTACGAGCACTACGACTGCTACTACTACTACGGCTACGACTACGGCTACGCCTGGGAGTAAAAGTACTCCGACTTCTACTGCGACTCCAGTTACGACCATTCCAATAATTATTGTTAGTGCTACCATTTCTACTGCGATTGTTATTCTAATTAGATTACGACGATGAGGCTGACCCCCAGTATTGCATGCTTTATCACGGCTGCCACCACGACAACTATTTCTATTACTACGACGGCAACTGTCACTACTACTTCTACTACTACTACTACTACTACTACTACTACTACTACTACTGCTACTGCTACTGCTACTGCTACTGCTACGACGACGACCCTCACGACTTTGAGTTTCACTACTACTACGACGACGATTGCTACTGATATCATTGTTCTTGTCACTACGACTACCACGACCACGGCCACTACTACGACTGTGACTTCTACGGCTACTACATGCACTGCTGCTTTTATTTCTTCTCCGGCTGCACCACTTGTACACTTAGTATTATTGCGACGACCATTATGTTTACGATTACGACTCGCGCTACGACAACCAGTATTGTTATTACTACTAGTGTTTACTACAAGTGCTACCATTACGACTATTGCTACTACTACTACTACTACTTTTACTACTACTACTACTACTACTACTACTACTACTACTATTAGGGTTACTACTACTATGAATGCACATATTTTTGGAGGTGCTACCCCGATTGCCACCAGTACTACGAATAGTACGGCGACTACTACTATTACTATTACTAGTACTACTACTGCTACTGCTACTGCAACCACCAGTGCTACTATCACTTCTACTTCCCCTGCGAATATGTTGTCTACTTCGACCACTCCTAATACTACGACATGACTACGGCAGCTACGACCACGACCACTACTGTTACTACTACTACGTCGCCTACTATCAGTCTTATTACGACTACCACGATTGCTACCATTACGACGGCGACTACTATTACGACGACTACGACTACGACTATTATTACTACTGTTTGTTTTTTTGCTGCTACTACGACTACTACTACTACTGCTACTACTACCACTTATGACGACTATTCATACCACCACTACTACTACTACTACTACTACTACTACTACTACTACTACTACTACGACTACTACTACTACTACTACTACTCTTCTTACTTATGACTACTTCCACGACTGCGACGACGACTACGACTACTACTGCTACGACTACGACGGTGACGTCGGCTATTACCACTACCACCACACCTACTACTACTACTATTACTACTATTACTACCACCACTACCAGTACTACTACGATTACTACGACTACTACTGCTACTACCACTACTACGAGTACTATGACTACGAGCACTACCACAACTACTACTATTACTTGTACTACTACAACTACTACGACTACTACTCCTACTACTACTACTACTACTACTACTACTACTACTACATCTACTAATACGACGACTACGACTACTACTGCTACTATTGTGACTACTACTACTACTACTACTACTACTACTACTACTACTACTACTAGTACTACTAGTACTACTACTACTACTACTACTACTACTACTACTACTACTACGACTATTACTACTACTACTACTACTACTACTACTACTACTACGATTGCTACTACTACGACTACTACTACTACTACTACTACGACCACGGCTACGACTAAGACCACTACTAGTAGTATTACTGCTTCTCCGACTCCTGCTACCACTACTACTACTACTTCTTCTACTACTATTACTACTATTACTACTACTACTACTACTACTACTACTACTACTACTACTACTACTACGACTACGACTACGACTACTACTACTACTACTACTACTACTACTACTACTACTACTACGTCTATTCCTACTACCACGGTTACGATTACGACGAATACTACGACCATTACCACCACTTGAATTACCACTAGGGGTTTGACGGCGCCCACTGTCATTACGAGTATTGCGTCTACTACTACGGCAGCGAACACCACGATTACGACCGGTACCACGATTACAGATACTACTACAACGACGGCAACGACGAGTACTGAGACCATTACATCTGCCAGTATTACTAGTATGCCTACTTCTAGTTCGACTACGACTATTACGATTGCGATTACTATGGCTACCAGGGGGGCGGCGTGCAATATTCGTAATCCTACTATTACTACTCCTACTACTACTACTACTACTACTACTACTACTACTACTACGATTACTACTACTACTATTGTTACAACTACACCTACAAGTCCGACGAATGCTACTACGTCTATTACTACTACTACTACTACTACTACTACTACTACTACTAGTACTAGTACTAGTACTACTACTACTACTACTACTACTACTACTACTACTACTACTACTACCCCTGTTACAACGATTTTCATTGTGATTATTAATATACTACGGCTACTACTACGACTACGACTACTGCTCCTATGATTACGACTGATTACGACTGCTACTTCTACTTATATTGCAGCTATTATCCTTGCAACCAGTTTTAGTATTACTACTAGAACTACTACTACTATTACTACCACTACTACGACTACTATTTCTATTACTATTGTTACTCCCAGTACTACTACTACTACTACCAGTGTTACTACGACTAGGACTACTTCTACTACCACGACTACGACTACGACTAATATTATTACTACTGCCATCACGGCTAATATTTCGATTACGACTACGATTCGCATTGCTTTTACTATTATTCATACCACTACTACTACGACTACGACTACTAAGATCATGCCTACCGCTACTACTACTACTACTACTACTACTACCACTACTACTACTACTACTACTACTACGACTACTACTACTACCACTACCACTACTACTACTACTACTACTACTACTACTACTACTACTACTACTACTAGTACTACTACTACTACGACTACTACGACTACTACGACTACTACTACTACTACTACTACGACTACTACTACTACTACTACTACTACTACTACTACTACGACTACTACTACTACTACTACGACAACGACGACGACGACGACGACGACGACGACGACGACGACGACGACGACGATTATTTCTACGACTACGACGAATGCTACAGCTACTACGACTACTAATATGATTACCACCCTCAGGACGAGGACCACTACTACTAGTACTACGACTACTACGACTACTACTACTACTACTATTACTACTACTACTACTACTACTACTACTACTACTAGTACCAGGAATAGTACTTCCATGCTTCTACAGTTTCACTACTACTACGACTACTACGACAAGTATTACGACTACGACTAGTAGTATGCTTGCTACTATTTTTACTACTATTATTGTTATCACTACTACTAGTACCACTACTACCACCGCTACTACGACTAGCACATTTACAGCTCTTACCACCGCTATCATTACTACTCTTACCACTACTACGATTAGTTATACCTGTAAGTACTACGATTGCTACTGCTATCACGACTACGACTACTACTGCGACTACAACCACTACTATTATTGTTGTTATTACTATTACTACGACGACTACTACTACTACGACTACGACTACGACTACGACTACTGTTACTGCTACTACTACTACTACTACTACTACTACTACTACGACTACTACCTCTACGACTATGACTACTACTTGGGCTACTACTACTACTACGATTACTTTTTCTATAACCACTGCCGCTACGACAACTACATCTACAACTACAGCTACAGCGACAACTACTAGCACTACCTGTGCAACTTCCAGTCTTCTGGCTTGTGCTGAAAATTCGCCGTGGCCCCGTTACCCGTCGACCCCTTCTCCTGCACCATGTTCCTCGTGTTCTTCCTGCTACTTTCTTGACGTGCTGATCCAGTTCGAGTTCTATGTGATCCACGCACACCCCTTACTTCATCAGTATTCCACTCCTCGTCCTCAAGCCGTTCCTCCAAGTCGTTGGCCTGCTTCGACTCCCCCCTTCAGCTTTGAGTCCACGAATGGTCCGTGCATTGCTGCACCGAAGGGCGCGCAGGGGCCATCCCGTCTGCGTTACAGGTCCGACGCGCGCGCGGGGCCCACGCGTTTCGGCGCCTGTTGTGCTTCTTTGTCCGCCCCCTCGTCGCCAGCATCCTCTGTTCGTCCCTTCCCATTCGTATGTGCTTCCCTCCCTCCTCCCTCCCTCCCTCCCTCCTTCTCTTGCCACTCGCATCCTCCCTCCCTCCTCTTGCTCTCCCCTTCCCTCTTCTTGCTCCTCGCTCCTCCCCCCCCCAGGGCGATTCCTGGACGCTGCTCTACGACAACGAGTGGCAGGCCGGAGCGCGAGCGGCGGAGGGGCGGTCCTCCGCGGATGGATGTCGTCTGGAAAAGGGGGGGGGCGGACGACGGGGAGCAGGAGGAGGAGGAGGAGGAGGAGGGGGAGGGGGAGGAGGGAGAGGAGAAGGACGAGGAGGAGGACGAGGAGGACGAGGAGGAGGAGTCTGGCCTGGCCTGGAGGGGGAGGAGGAGGCAGAAGACGATGAGCAGGAGGAAGACCAGGTGCAGGATGACGAGGAGGCGGAGGAGGAAGAAGAAGAGGAGGACGACGACTAGGAGCAGGACCAGGAAGAGGAGGGAGAGACGAGAAACAATGCCATATGTAGAAGATGTAGCGTTCATTCCATGGCTTCACTTGCGGGGGTGGCCATTTTATTACGAGTGTGATGTCTTCTTCTCGTCCGCAGGCGGGCTTCGCAGGGCGGAGTGCAGCAGAGTTTTTTGGGGGGGGGGCGGGGCTTGCTTTGGCAGGTCGAAGCAGGGGGGAGAGGACGATTCGAGCATCAGGATGAGCACGCCGTACGCTTCGGCAGCCCTGGCGCGAAGCGCCTCTGGGGGGCCCCCGAGGCCGCCAGGGCGGCGGGACGGCGCCTCGGAGGTGCGGGCAAGAGGCGCGCGGCCGCCCCAAGCTCTGGCCCCCGACTTCGGCCCCCGGAGGGCCGAGGTGAATCTCTTTCGGGTTGGGCCGAGCCGGGCCCCCCCATGGGCGGCTGCGGTGCGCATGCAGCGGAAACCCATGCCAAGACGCACCCTGCTTGCCTCCAGGGTGCCCTGGGTTCTTGGGTTTCGCTGTTCTTTTGCCATGGAGAGCGCGACGTGCCCACGCACAAGCTCCATGGACGTCCTGGGGTCTCAGGGGTGGGCTTCTTGTGGAAGGTTTCTTGTGGACTGGCCTCCACTGCAAGACGGGCTTGGAGGCTGGAGCCCTTCGAGTGTCAGGCGGCGCGCCGCTCCGCCCAGGGGGGGGTCCCGTGCGACCGAGAGGCGGTGTCCGTCGACGCGGGAGCGGGCACGGGACGGCCGTCCCCGGCGGGCGGCACACCGAGCGCACGCACGCCTGCCTCCCGAACGCCACTTGGCCACCCTCGGGACAAGGTGGTCAGGCCATCCAGCTTCGGGGGGGGCCCAGGAGCGCAAGCGCGATCCCAGGCGTGCTCGTGGCCCCGCGCGCCAAGGCGGGGGGGGCAGGCGGAGAGGGGGGGACGGAACGGGGGGGGGGGGCGTTGGCGCCAGGGTCTGCACCACCACCACCACCCTTGGCGTAACCCTCGAGACTGCCAGAAAGCTGAGTACCCACGTCGCACGCGTGGCCACCTGTCGTTCCAGCGCCAGGCCTTCATGGGGCCTGGCACACAGGCATTCCGCACGTGCATACCTGTCCTGTATCTTCCGCGTGTTCCGCGCGTGAAGTTGGCCGTGCATGCTTCCAGCGTCATGGCAGCGCCGGCCCTGGCGCGCCTGCGCAGCTCTTGGCTCCAGGGCCCTGGCGGCGCAGAGTCTGGGATGGGGGATGTGTCCGGGTGGCCGTCGTGTGCCACTCACGCCCCTCCCCGCTCTCCCCCTCTGTCCCCTTCCCTTCCCTCGCTTCCTCCTCCCCTCCCCTCCCCGCTCTATCGTGCCTACTCCCCTCCTCGTCCTCCCTCTCGCTGCCCCTCCTCCCTCCTCCCTCCATCCTCCCCTCCCCGCCCTCTCCCTCCACTCCTATTCGTCCTCCTCCTCCTCCTCCTCCTCCTCTTCCTCATCCCTCTCCTCCTCCTCTCCCTCCTCCTCCTCCTCCTCCTCCTCCTCCTCCTCCTCCTCCTCCGCCTCCTCCTCCTCCTCCTCCTCCTCCTACTCCTCCCTTCGAAGATAAGACAACGGCATCAGCATAAGCTGTCGGAGGTCCGCGCGGATTTCTCGGGTCGGCGCTGGACCCCTCCCCCCCCCAGCGGCGCCTTTTTGGCGCCGCCAGGGTGATCCGCACACCCAGGGGATCGTGTCGGACGAACGGGGTGGGATTGGGAAGGGGGGGTACACATCGTTCATTTCCAATTCTTCGAAAATTCTGTGATGTTTTTGGGGGCTAAGATCCTTTCATTTCTAATGATTCTATCCTGGGCCTCTTCCTGGCCACCAGGGGGCCAGGAACAAGTAGAAACGAGCACAATTAGAAGTGAGCACGACTAGAAATGAACGACGTGTACGAACCCAGCTGCAAGCAGCTGGGTCCGACCCCGCCACCGGGCGCTGTTCTCGATGCAACACCCCCTCCGGCGCCGGGGAGACCAGCTACGTGAGCTGATCCTGGCATCGCTCGGACGTGTGCGTTTCTTCCTCGGCGAGGACCACCGACGAGCATCCTTGACCATTTGCCGAAAAAAACACGCACGAAACCCCGAAAAAGAACACAGGGAATGGACGCCCGAGCGATGGCCAGTGATTCGCGCGACCCCCCCCCCTTGTTTACTACCCTTTTTGCGCCCGACCTGAAGGGAGAGGACTGCAGCAGGGCCTTATACATCCGCTCGGGCCTCCGACAGTTTGTATGCTCATGCGGTGCTGCTTCTTGCGCAGTCAGGACGCTGACAGAAGGAGCAGGTTGGGTTCGCCAGGGGCTCGTTATCCTCAGTCCCATCCTTGGTGGTTCCTCGAGCGCCCCGTCGCACACCGGCAAATGTTGGGGCCAAAAGGGCCTATGTTCCTTATTCGGTGTTCCCTATGGTGGTAGCATGACGGCACTCCTCCTCCTCCTCTTCATCCTCATCATCATCACCACCATCATGATTAACATCATCATAAGCATCATCATCATCATCATCATCATCATCATCATCATCATCATCATCATCATCATCATCATCATCATCATCATCATCGTCAGCGTCAGCGTCAGCGTCAGCGTCAGCGTCAGCGTCAGCATCATCACTATTATCATCATTTTTCTCCTGGTAGTCCGTGTGTGTGACATTTCTCATGGTAGTAATTAGCTTGACGGCACTCTTCCGCCTCTTCTTCCTCTTCCCGTCTCTTCCCCTCCCTCCTACCCACCTCTTCCACCATCTTTCCTTTCAAACCCAACCACTCACACCTTCCCCAATGTGGAGGGCAAATGGCCGCGAGGAGAGGGGGGGGGAAGCAGGCCCGTGCTGCGCAGGTGGCACAGCAGATCGAGAAGGTCATGAAGAAGGCTGGCCAGGCCTCAGCCATCGCGCCGCTGGGCCTCCTCTTTGCATCGCGTTTCTAGTCCGACACATCGGTATGAACAGACATGCTCGATGGTCCGCGCTCTCTTGTTCGATCGGCGCTTAACCCCCCTGGCGGCAGTTGACGTACTTGTGCTACCCATTCCTCAACAGCACCCTGCCCTTGGCCAGCACATGTTTCCATCCTCGTCCTCCTCATCCCCCTCGACATCGCCCTCCTCAGCACACTGCGTGGTATCACAATTCCACACAATGTACTGGATGTGCTCTAGAGGACCATTTGCCGTCCAAGATGCCGTAATTCCCTTTCCTTTCCATTCAGTGGAAACCCATGCCAAGATACACCCTTCTTGCCTCCAGGGTGCCCTGATGTTCTTGGGTGTCGATGGCTTTGCCATGGAAAGCGTGACGCCCCCACACCAAAAACCAATGGACGTCCTGGGGTCTCAGGGTTTGGTTTCTTGTGGAAGGTTTCTTGTGGACTAGCCCCCACTGCACTTGTCCCGCTCTTCCCAGATCCGATTTCTCAATTGAGCCCCCCCCCCACGCCCGGCGACACTCTGCCTCCTCGCCGTTCATTATTCCATCCCTCTTTCCGCCCCCCGACCTCTATTCATGCATCGTTATTTCTCCCACTCCATCGCCACTCCATCCTATTCCTCCTCATCCTCCTCCTCCTCATCATCATCACCACCCACTTCTGCCCTTCTGATTCCCTCCCGCTCTCGATCCTCCCCTCCCCACTTAGATCGCCAGCCCGCCCATCCTCCGAGCATCCCCTTTCGGAAAAAAGGGCGAGGGGACGACGAGGAGGACCGAGGCCCCAAGGAGGGGACGGGGCGGGAGGGAGGAGCGGCGCTGGGGAGGCTGCAGCAGGCGAGGTGCGGTCGCGCCAGCCTCTGACAGCCGACCCCTCCCCACCCAGCCCCGCCCGCGGCGCGGGCGGCCCTCTGCCCGCGGACGCCTGCCGTGGCGGACCTGTGAGCGCCCGAGGCGGCCCCCCATCGTGCGCTGCGCAGTCCGAAGCCGGGAGCTGCGCGCACGGGAGGAGCGGGGGAGGGAGGAGGGGGCGGCGGAGGAGCAGGGGGACGATCAGGAGGACAAGGAGTGGGGGAGGAGGCGGAGGGGAGGAGTGGGGGAGGAGGAGGAGGCGGCGGCGGAGGAGCAGGGGGACGATCAGGAGGACAAGGAGGAGGACGAGGGCGAACGTGATTGTGGATGGGAGGCAGGGGACGGAAGAGAAGGGGGAAGAGACGGAAGGATGACGGAGGCAAGCGGGGATCATCATCTTCAGCAGCATCAGCATCGTCATCGCATGATCATCATAATCACCGGCGTCATTACCCCTACCATCAGCATGATTCTGAACATAATCGTCATCGTCAGAAGTATGTTTGATTATGTATAACACTTTAGTGTTACTATCATCAGCACCCTCATCAGCAGCAGCATCCGCGCCATCATCACCACCACCAGCAGCATCATCAGCGTCATCACCAGCACCATCATCAGCGGCACCGTCGTTATCATCACGATGATTTCCAGATGCGTATATCTGTACACACTCTTCATCACCACCATCACAATCACCACCATCGTCACAATCAGAATCGTCACCTCGCGCGCTGACCGCCCCTCGAGCCCCGCTCCGTGCGCACAGCTGCCCGACCCTGCGCGGTAGCCATCATCACCACCACCGTCACCATTCGCACCGTCACCATCGCCACCACCGCCACCAACGCCACCAGCAGTGTCAGCATCAGCATCATCATCTTCGTCCTCATCCTCGTCATCACTGTCGTCGTAACCAGCTGTATCCCATGTGTCCTCCATTCCCTCACTCCTGATGCTCATCCTAGTCCTCCTCCTCCACCATCCTCGTCGTCGTCATCATCAGCAGCATCATCAGATTCGTCATCGTCAGTACCACCATCATCATCAGCAGCATCATTAGCATTAGCATCAGCGTCATCAGCAGCAGCATCACCATGGCCACCAGTATCGTCATCGTCATCAGCATCGTCATCGTCATCATCATCATCATCATCATCATCATCATCATCATCATCATCATCATCATCATCACCATCAGCATCATCATCAGCATCAGCATCATCATCCATGTCGTCGTCGTCGTAGTCTTCACCCCTCCCTCTCTCCATCCCCTGCCTCCTGCTGCCGACGCCACGTCGTAGAGGAAGCGGGGCCGCGCGCGAGCGCCCTCCGCTTGCCAGGCTGGTGGGAGCGCGTTCCAATCCAAATCTGTCGCCGCACCGTGTTTGTTCCGACGCGCGGCCTTCCGTCTGTGGGGTGCCGCCGGTGTCGCCTACTCCAGATTTCGTAATAAAGGGAGGGGGGGTCTCATTTCGGGGGGGGTCTCTTCCAGGCTATCTTGGAGGGCCTGGGGGGGTCTGGGGACGATGTTTTGGAGGGTTCTCCCAGGGGGGGGTCTGAAATGGCTTGTCTTGGAGGGTCCAGACCCCATCCCTTTTATTACGAAATCTGGAGTACTTTGGGCGCGGGGCGCATGGGTTGTTGCCGCGGGTTTGCCGTGGTGTCGGCGTCGTCCACTTGAGCGCGTTCAGAACATGCAGTGCGGCGACATGCCAGGTTCTTCAGCGAGGTCTTCGAATGCGAATCGTTTGTTCGAAACAGATCAAAGGGAGAACACGGAAACCTTGGCTTTCTAGGGGGGAGCAATGTCACGCATGTGGAGGCGCGCTGCATCGCCAGGCAGCTGCGCGGATGGAGGCTGGCAACAGGAGTTGAGAGGAATCTGACCGCTGCGCCGTCCAAAGGCCCAACGCGTCGCATTCCCATGGAGCGCGGGACGAGGCTCCCGTCGGCGGGGCTGCACATCCGCGTGCTCGACGCGAGGGTGGCAGAACGCTGGCGCGCGCCGAGTAGCCGCACACACACACACACACACACACACACACACATACACACACATGTCAAGCGGAAAGGAGATCCAGGGGCATCCAGGGAAGGAGCACAGGGAGAATGACGAGAAGAAAGACGAGGATGAAGTGGCGGGAGGGTGAAGAGGACCGAGGGGCGCGAAGACTCGCAAGGTAAACGGAAGAAGGGAGCTGGGAAGACGACAGTTGGAATTAACCCTCAAGGCCCTTGCGGACCTTTATCCATGGGAGCCGTTCAAGGGACCTCTTGGCACACCCGGGTCGTGGGCCAGAGGCGTCGTAAAGGTCGCACGGGGCCTTTTGGATGCTTCGCGGGGAGCGTGCCGAGAGTGCGCAGAGCATAGGCAGTCGGGGTCTTTTGTTTGGATGCTTCGCGGGGAGCGTGCCCAGAGTGCGCAGAGCATAGGCATTCGGGGTCTTTTGTGAGCGCTTTGAAGGCCTCCTGGGGATCTTGGGGCCTTTGTGGGGTTTTGTGGAGGGCCTTTTTGGAGCGTCTTGGGTCGTCGTCAGGCGCTCTTGAGCCGCCAGGCGCTTTCGAAGGCCGTTTGGTGGCCTCTTGGGCCGTCGTGGACGTGGTCGAGACCAAGAAGGCGCACTTGCAAAATATGTGTTCTTTAGGGATTGGGACGACTTTTGTTTCTGGGGGCCCCTTGTGCTTCTGAGGGTCCTCTTGGAGCCCTCTTCGGGTGTCTCGGGGGCTTCTTGCGTTGTCTTCAGGCCATCTTGGGGCCGCGTGGAGGCCACTGTGGGCCGTCTTGGGGTCTCGTGGGGTCATGTCGAGTCCGTCTGAGGCCGCCCGGGGACACTCGGACGGAAATGAGTACCTTGGCGGAATCGGGCCCATACACACCCGCATCCAAACCAGCCGGGCCGAGCTCCCAGGGGAGGGTTTTCGGGGAGGGGCAAGCATCTCACACGCGGGATACAATCGCCGAGGGGTCGACGGGTTCTTCGGTGAAGGAAGGACGGGCAAGAGTAGGCGGTGCCTTCTGATTCGCTCGAAGCGTGCGTCTTTCTCGGCGATGCAAGCGCCAGACAATCTGGACCGCCTTGGAGCAGCGTGGGCCATCTTGAGACAAAGCGCGCACGAAACTGACAACACACGGGGGAATGAACGTTCGAGCGGTGGCAGGACTCTCCGCTGCTTCCTCCTCCTCCTTCTCCTCCTTCTCCTCCTCCTCCTCCTCCTTCTCCCCCTCCTCCCTCTTCTCATCCTCCTCATCCTTCTCCACCTCCTCCTCCTCCTCCTCCTCCTCCTCCTCCTCCTCCTCCTCCTCCTCCTCCTCCTCCCCTCCTCCTTCTCATGCTCCTCATCCTTCACCTCCTCCTCCTTCCCTCTTCCTTCTTCTCCTCCTCCTCCTCCTCCTCCTCCTCCTCTCCTCTTCCTCCTCCTCTTCCTCCTCCTCCTCCTTCTCGCCCCCCTCCCCCCCCCTCCATCCTCCTCCTCCTCCTCCTCCTCCTCCTCCTCCTCCTCCTCCTCCTCCTCCTCCTCCTCCTCCTCCTCCTCCTCCTCCTCCTCCTCCTCCTCCAGGCGTGCCCTCGCCCCTGCTCCAGCGCTGGCTCATGAAGCCAAGGGGACCTCCGCTGCGGCGCCCGGGGTGCCCGACGCCCTCCGCCTCGCGGCGACGCCCCCTCTCTGCGCCCTTCGCCTCGGGCGGCGGGGGCGCCTCGGGGACGGCCTCGCCTCGTGCGCCCGCCGCCCACCGGGCGTCGTCGACGCTTCCCGGAGGCTGTCCGGCCTCGGGGCGCCGTTCGGTCGCCGCCTTCCGCTGCTGCCCAGCGTGCGGCGCGTCGGTCCTCGAGGGCGGCCCTGCCTCGGGATGTTGCTCGGCAGCGCCGCCTCGTCGAGGGCGCCCCACGGGGCGCCCGAGCCGTCCCGAGCGGCCGCCAGAGACCCGGGGTATGCCCCGAAAGCGTAGCGGTGAGTCGGGCATGTCCCTCTAATTACACGAGGAACAGCAAACTAAAAATTGAAATGGTCTGGGAACGATGTGTTTATGTGTTGAATAGTGTTGTTTAAACATGTGTTGACTATGCTAAACTTGTCTTCCAAAACCCGCCCGTAGGAGGGCATGCCCGACCTGAGCCTAGTGACCCTTTGCCGGAGTGGCCTTATGGTGCGAGCCTACAGGGCTTCCCCCCCCAACGCTGATTCTGCGCGGCTGGATTTGGGCCCTCCCTTGGCCCTACGGCCTGGCACTTTTGCATACGGTGGGGGCCCATGCCAAGAACCGCGCTGCTTGCCTCCAGGGTGCCCTGGGTTTCCTGGGCTTCGAGAGTTTTGCGATGGAAAGCGTGGCGCTCCCACGCCAGAAATCGACGGAAGGCCTGGGGTCCCAGGGTTGGGTATCTTGTGGATTGGACTCCACTGCGACACGCCGCGCCGTTCAAGTCGACAGCGCGTCGCCCCAGAAGTTGCTCTAAAAGCGGACAGCGCGTCGCACTAGAGGTTTGGAAACGGCCGGGAATTGGACAGTTTGGTGATCCAGCTTTTGGGTGGGCCAGAACTGGTGCCGCGACACGCTATGCAGATGTGCTTTACCGTAAAGCCGCGCACCAGGGGTCAGCACTGCCAGGGGCTGCGCACTGCGCGTAGCCGAGTGACCCTGCGCCAGGGCGACTCTTCCCCAGAGTGATCTTTGGTGCGGGCTCGCACGGGTTTCCCCCCAGCGCCGACCCGCGCGATCGGCCAAGCCCTCCCACCTACCCCCTTCCTGACCTTCGGGAGGGCTAACAAATAGCTCGCGCCTGGACCCACAACCCGCTGGATTAAAAAAAGTGGAGACCGTGGGGATCGAGAAAGACGCGGTTGGCCTCCCGTTAGGCCACGGGGCCCCGGGACAATGTTGGACTCGGGGCCGAGTCGGGAATTCCAGATGCACTTCTCATCCCTGTAATATTATAACAGCCAAATGGGGTCAGCGTCTGAAAATGCGATTCCGCCTGAGACTTCCGCAAACAAACTTCAGATCGCCTTCCGGGGCGATCTGGAAATTTGCCGCGGCATCTGAAAGTGGCGATTTCGCGTGGGACTTCAGAAAAACATGTCCGGTCCATCTCCATGCCGCTTGAGAGCAGCGACATCGCTTGAGAATTCCTCGCAGGGTATTTCTTGACCGCCTTTCACACCGCCAAAGAGTGGCGCCTTCGTTTAGGCTGTCCTAACAACCGCGCGTCTCGTCCACCCCCCCGTCGCCGTTCCTCCGTTCGGGCCACGACTCTGTCTGGGAATTCCTTGGGATCGATCGACGGTCGATGCTTGAGTTTTCTTTCGGTTGGCGAAGACCAAGGGGGTGCTCCCTGGCATAGTGTCGATCACCACTTTTTAGTCCAGGGGGTGGAAGACGCCCAAACTCCAGTCGAGGTTGGAAGCATCCCAGAGAGGTCTATAGGTCTCAAGCGTTTTGTCTCAGCACTCTGGAAGGTCGGGGCTCCGGCCCCCGGAGGCCGCGCGCCTGGGGTCATTCTTGCTGCCTACGGTTAAGTCGGGCCTGTCCCTCTACAGGGGGAATATTCAAAAATTGTCAAAACATAGTCTGGGGGCTACATTTTGAGGATGCTGGGGCATTTTTGTTTGAGTATTTGTTTGGTTTATTGTTTTTTATGTTTCGTCTCACATCCCCCTGTATGGGGGACAGGCCCGACCTAAGCCTATAGGGCCCCTCCTCGCGAGTGGCCCTAGGCATGCCCGTGGCGCCCGCCGCCGGCACCTCCCTCGCGCGCTCCGACGCGGCGCCCCGCGGCCATCCGAGGCCGCGCACCGAGCAGCGCTCGTGCCCGGGGCCATTCGTCGGCATCGTTCAGCCGATCCCCATCCCCATCCCTATCCCCATCCCTCTCGAGGGCCCCACCAAATTTGGGGGAACAAAAAGTGGCATAAACATAATAAAGACTCGGAGGCCCGCGCGGACCTCCGTGTTTTTATATTAATGCCATTTCTTGGTCCCCTTAAATTCCCCCCCCAGTTGGGGAGGCACCCCTCGAAGCCCGGAGGGAACGGCCTAGATCCCCATCCAGGGGGCCGAATCGGCCAGTGGGGCCCAGGCCACGCCGCTGGGGATGGGGCTCGGGCAAACGATACTCAACTCGTCGCGCGTGGGGCCGAGCTCGCGCGCGGCGCCCGCGGCCCCTGCAGGCGATCCCCCAGGAGCTGCAGGAGCTGCTGGCCAGTGGGCGCGGCGGCGGCGGCGGCGGCTGGGGCGGCGGCGGCAGGGGCGGCGGCGGTGGCCCGGGCCTCGGAAGGGCCGCGGCCGCGGCCGGGCCCAGATACCCAACGTCGCGAGATCGGCGTCACCCCAACGTACTTATACTACGGTTGGGGCGTTCGTTAAGGAATGTGCCCAGGGGGCTTCAGACCCTGGAGAGTTTCTTATCTGATAACTGCGGCGGTGATATCCATGGCCAATCCACGATTGGAGTTCCACCAGCTTCCAGACCCTGGATTCCTTATCCAATGGTTCCTTATCCAATGCCCTCACCGTGCTTATACTATATGTGCGTCGCCCCCTCAGGGGCGACTTGCGCACCGAGAAATCTTAGAATGTATGCGTCGTGGCGGGCGCTTTCTGGCCACACCGCTCGGGAAACGATATACTACAAGATGGGTATGCTAGATGTTCGGGCCGGACGCGCGCCGCCAAGGAGGACATATAGTATTAACATGTCCTTGTGCGTCCCATGAGACAGAGTCCGGCCTGAAGTCGGGCATGTCCCTCTGCAGGAGGAAGATCCCAGAAAAGTAACAAAATAGTATGGTGAAGATGTTTCGTGTCCTTCTGACTACATTTGGTTATCAGTTGACCATGGTTTAGGTTTCTTTCAACCTCCGCCTGTAGGAGGACGTGCCCGACCTAAGTCTAGCTGGAGGTTTTGCGGGACGTGTTCTGCACCTTGGAGCCGTCCAAGAGCGGCGGGGAAAGGATCGGGGCTTCCATCGGGGGCGGCGAGGGGAGGGCTGAGGAATGTGTGTGTGCGCGTGTGTGTGTGATTGTGTGTGTGCGTGTGTGTGTGTGTGTGCGCGTGTGTGTGTGTGTGTGCGTGTGTGCGTGTTCAGTGTCGTCACGTACTGCGCACTGCTTGGGCTTGTCGTCGTCCCCCCACCGTCGAGCAGTGGCGAAGCGTCCTGGCTTGCCTGTAGGCCCGCCAAATAATGTTCTAATCGGGGCGGCAAAGAGGGGGGTGATGACTAGGGGGGGGGTCAGATTTCATGGCGCCTCTTCTTATTTCATTACGTCCCTGGCCCCCCCCTTGGGCCGCGCACATGCCGCCAGCCATGATTTGCACCCCCCCCCTCTTGGATACCCCCCTCTTGGCCGCCCCCGATCTAAGATTCTTTGCACGAAGCGTTCTCAGAACCGTTCCGAGCTGAGACGGTCTTGGCCTGAGGCATCGGCCTTCTGTTCCAAGACCAGTGCTTGCATGCTCAGGTCATCTGGGGGGGCCCTGAGCACATGTCGTGGCAGGCCCACGTGTGCATGCCGGGACGGCCGCTCCCCGCTCACACCACCGCCCCGCCCCCACGCCCCTCGCGGCCCCCAGCGAGCGACCCGGCCGAGCCCCTCTGGGCGGAGCCCCGTCCCCACGCCGCGTGCTCGCGGGCCGGCCGAGCGCGCCCCTCCGCCCGACTTCTTCTCCGCCACGACGCGCGGCGCGCGCGGCCGCGGCGCCCACAAAAAAGGGCGCGTGGGCACCACACGGCGCGGGCCGCGAGGCCTCCCAGATGCCACGGCGCCATCTTCTTCTCCGTCGAGCACCGGTGCGCTTCCTGCTCCTCCCCCCTCCCTCGTTCGCGCACGCGCCTCGAGGCGGCGCGCCCGACTTCGGAGGGGGGGGGTGTGCCGTAGGGGGGGCTCAATCTCCTCCTCCTCAATCCTCCTCCTCCTCCTCCTCCTCCTTCTCCTCCTCCTCCTCCTCCTCCTCCTCCTCCTCCTCCTCCGCCTCCTCAATCTCCTTCTCCTCGTCTTCCTTCTCCCTTCCGCCGAGAATCGAGAATCGTTCGATCCACGCCGCAGTGTTCTACGGTGCGCCAGCGACCTGGTTCATCAGATTCGCTGCTCACGGGACCCTGATCACAGCGCCCTTCGAGGACCCCGCTCTTCCCACACTTCCTCCTTCGCCTTTACATGCCTCTCCAGTTCCTCCTGCTCCTGCTCCTCCTCCTCCTCCTCCTCCTCCTCTTCCAGCTCCTACTTCTCCTCTTCCTCCTCCTGGAGGCCTCTGGAGGCCTCTAGAGGCCTCTGGAGTCTGGAGGTCCTGCGGGGATGCCTCCGGATGCCGCCTTGAAGCCAAGAACCCCAGAGAATCTCGAGGACCAGGCGAACGGCGCGCATGAGCCGAGAAGGCCAGTCCGACGGTTGAGCTTTCTGTTATCAGGGCCTGGATTTCTCTCTCTCTCTCTCTCTCTCTCTCTCTCTCTCTATATATATATATATACAGATAGGATGTATCTACATATAGTTATGAGTTTTATATATATACATGTATAACCCATCGGTCGCTGAATGTATGTATTTCTGGAGTCCCAGATTCCAATGTACTTGAAGCGCCTTCCTGCTTCAATGACCAATCCACCTCCAACGCCTTCCTACGTCATGTGTCTACATGCTTCTTCCGACCGATGGGTACAGGTCGGGGGTCAAAACCGGCACCAACGCGTTTTTGTTCGCAGGCCCTGTCAGGACCGTCTCGGGACGGCGCTTCCGCGCAGCTCTTAACACGCCTCGCGCGCCAGGCGAGGGGAGGGCAGCACCGTCCAAGGCGTCTGCTTATGCTCTCTGTCGTTCGCTCTTACAACTGGGTCACCGGCACGGGTCCGAAGGCGACCACGCTCTCGCGCGATTCGCCGCTTGGGTTTGACAGCCGCTCTTCTTTTGGAGTGGAGGGCTTGGTGGTCAACGCGATGGTGGTTACGGCTGCCTGCTTGCGTGGTTGGGATATGCCCAAATGGTCCAGAATTGCCACCTCGTATTCTACATGGTGGTTGACCGGTAACGCAGGCGGTCCACGCAGGACCCCCGCCCCGCGCACCGTGTGGGGTTACGAAATGGTGGATCAGAGGTCTGGGTTCGCATTTTTGGATGAACACTGTTTTTTTTGCACGCTGGCCAGATGTTGGGGATGTGTCTCGGAAGCCGGGCAAGGGCTGCTAAATCCGTGGCTGCTAAAATCGACCTCCGGGAAGTTGTCTTCGTCCTTCCGGGAAGAAGCCCGTTCACTGTTTCGCGTGCCGCGCCTCATTCCGGAAAGTTGTTTTTTCCTTCCGGGAGGGCCGTTTTAGCAGCCACGGTGTTAGCAGCCCTCGCCCAGCTCCCCAGTGTCAGTTGATTTGTTTGTCTCGGCGCTTCGGTCTCTCTGCTGGCTGCAGAGCAGGTCGTGAGGATGTCATCACATCAAGGCGGGCCGGCAGTGGGGTATACGCCACCCGCCCCGTTCGCGCCCAGATCTCGGGGATGCCTCGAACTAGGCTTCGGTCGGGCGTGTCCCTCTACAGGGGGAATATTCCAAAATAGTAAAAAAATAGTCTGGGGACTATTGTTTATACTTTTTGACCAATTTTGAGCATTTCTTGAATATTTTTAATTTTTCGCCCAGAATCCCACTGTAGGGGGACAGGCCCGACTTAAAACTAGGCGCTGATGTTGCACCCCCGACCTTCCTCAGCCCGATGTAGGGAGAAGGACGGCCGCCAGGGAGGAGGATGCACGACGAAGGAGAAAAGGAGGAGGACGCGAGAGGAGGGAGAGGGGAAGAGGGAGGAAGAGAGGGGAGGGGCCACGACGAGGAATAGGAAGGAAAGGGGGGGAGGAGGCCGCCAGGGACAGGGACACCTGCCAGAGCGCAGGAGGAAGGAGGGAGGACGTAGGAGGGAGGAGAAGGAGGAGGACGCGGGAGGAGGGAGAAGGACGGCCGCCAGGGGGTAGAAGGGAGGACGAAGAAGGAAGGAGAACGCAGGAGGAGGGAGAAGGGAAGGAGGCGGAAGAGAAGAGAGAAACTCCGACCAGAAGGCAAGGGAAGCAGAGGGGAGTGGGCCTGCTCACCGCCAATTTGTCGGTCGTCGTCGTCGTCGTCGTCGTCGTCGTCGTCGTCGTCGTCGTCGTCGTCGTCGTCGTCGTCCCTCTTAGTAGTTGCCGCCGTGGTCGTCGTCGTCGTCCCTCTTAGTAGCTGCCGCCGTGGTCGTCGTCGTCGCCGCCGCCGTCGTCCACTCGGACTTACCCCCACACCCAGACATTCACAGCCAGACACTCACAGCGAAAAGTGCTAGGGAACGCGATGCACACATGGAGATGCCCGCGTCGAGTGATTTCTGCTTGGTCCCGGCGCCCATTCTGCCAGGACGGGGGTCAGCTAGTGCGCCCATGGGATTCTTGCCGTGCGCCGCTCATTCATTTTACTTGGGCGTCCAAGGGTATTGCGCCCTCAACTCGCGTCCTTATCCTCAGCTTTGACTGCACACGATAGAGCGAGAGTGCCGGCGTCGGCAGGCCGAAGCGTCGCCCCGACAGGGGCATGCCCGTGATGCTCGCAGGTGGGCGTGGAATGGTGACGGGCGCTCCGTTCTGTCTTAGCGAGCCACCCCCCTCTTCCTCTGAGGAAACTTGGCCAGGCGACGCTGCACCTGGAGGGCCCGCTGAGCGCCACTCCTGCCAGCACGCGGCAGAAAGGAGGAGGAGGGGGAGGAGGAGGAGGAGGAGGAGGAGGAGGAGGAGGAGGAGGAGGAGGAGGAGGAGGAGAAGGAACGCGGAGGAGAAAGGCAGAGGAGGAGAATCGGAGGTTCAAAGATGGAGTCCTTAGGGATGGGGTCCTGATGATAGGAAGGGATCCAAGGATGAATGTGCGTTGTTTGGGGAACCTCGTCCTCAAGACCCCATCCCTCAGGACCCCATCCTTGAACCATCGAGCGAGAGGGAAGACAAATCAGAGGGAGGAGGTCGGAGGAAGAGAGCGAGGACGACGGGCACTGGCGGGGCGCGGGCCCCCGCGGCAAGCGCCGAGGCTACGGCGGGAGCAACCTCTCCGGCGAGTGGGGCGGACGCTACGCAGGCGGCCTTCCGCCCCTTCCTCCCCCCCCCACCTCACCACCACCGTCGAGATCCCAACGTCATCATCGACACCTCCAGCCGCACCCTCTTCATCACCACCCGCCGCCGTGCAGGCTCGGGTGAGCTCGGCTCCCGTCATGCCGCCGCACCCGACGTCGTTGCGGTTGGGGGGGGCGGCGAGGCCTTCCCCACCCTCCCTCCCCCGCCTCGGCGTTTGCGACGGGGACGGGGCGACAGACAAGGGCTCCCCCGTCCTCCGGGGTTGCCTCAGGGGGAGGGTGCAGTGGGCCCCGCCCAGTCCGAGCAGTCCGAGCAGGGTGGGGCAGTTTGCTCTCCGTATTTCGTCGTTGCCACGGGGCGAGTTGAGTGGAATTGTTTGGCCGTGTTGCCGTATGATTGGTTGCCTGGAATACGTCATTGTTTTCGCTCCCCCCAGGCGTTGCCGCGCGACGAGTAGAGTGAGGTAGTATGCCCGTCGCATGTCCCAGGCGCTGCCGTTCGGCGAGCAATTATGCTGGAACATGTGATCGGCCACAAGGCGATGCCGCGGGACGCGACAAGCATCACAGAGTGCTTGTTTCCGCCCCCACACACTGCCACGCGACGCCCAGAGCACCACAGTGGTTGTTGCTCGTCTCCCGGGCCGCGTCGCGTCACGGGCAGACTGGGCGAGAGTGCTCCTCGCCCCCTCCCCCCCGCCTTCCGCCCAGGCGCTGCCACGCCCGCCCCGCGCTCGCCGCCCCCCCCACCCGTGCCCCCTCTCGGCCGCTGGGGAGCGCCGCGGGCGGTCGCCGCTGGCACCGTCGAGGCTCTGTACAGTCAAGACGCTGAGATAAGGAACAGGTTGGGTTCGGAAGGGCTCGATGTTCCTGAGGTTCCTCCAGTGCTGTTCCTCTTGCCCTCCTGGGGCACGGAGGCGCCTACAGGGCCAAGAAGGGGCTTCCTTCCTTGTTTGGCGTTCCTTCTTTCGGCAGCCCGACTGTGTGGGCTTTCCTGGCACGGGGTGGCGGTTTGAAGGCCAGCGCTGCTGCCGTTCGGCTGCGCCGCGGGGGAGGGGCCCACCGTTTGCGGCAGTGAAGCTCGCGCGGGCCCAGCCGCCTCACGAGCCGTCAGCGCCTGCCGCCCCGCCGCCATCCTGGTGGCCGCGCTCGCCCGCGCCGGAGCACCCGGCGGCGGCGGCCACCGCCGGCGGCCTCGCGCTTGCCGCTGGCGATGGCATCCTCCTGGGGGTCAGCGGCTGAGAGCTACCGTGCGGGCAGCCCGCACTGTGGCTCCGTTTCGAGGTGTCGGGGGGGGTGTGGGTGTTGGGTCCCTGGCGGGGCTGGTGGCGCTTTCCGCGAGCCCGCCGCGCCGATCGAGCGACTGTAGGGCCGTAGATCTCTAGCTTCGAGCGCAGATGCACAGCCGAGGCAGCTCTGGCCGCTGCTTTCTTGAAGGGTTGCAATCGCCATCACCACCATGATCACCGATGTCACCATCATACCAGCCCGTCGTCCCCATGGTCCTTATCCCCCCATTGCTTCCCTCCATCTCCCGTTTCTGCTCCGTAGCCCCAGCAGCACCTGTGGGGCCGTCTTGGGATGTCCAAAACCCCACTGGGGTCCTCCGCCGCCCTGCTGAGACCCCCGTGGGGACTTTCTGGGGCTCCCTGGTACACAGAGGTCCCCGTGTATCCCCAGCGGCCTCCAGAGGTCTTCAGGGGTCGCCAGGGGCCCAAGGGACACAACATCACACAAACCATCCTCCTCCAGCTCTGGCTTCTCACCTTCTTCTTCCTCTTCCTCCCCCCGCCTCCTCCTCCTCCTCCTCTTCCTCCTTCTCCTCCTCCTCCTCCTCTTCCTCCTCGTCCTCCTCCTCTCTCCTCCTCCTCCTCCTCCTCCTCCTCCTCCTCCTCCTCCTCCTCCTCCTCCTCCTCCTCCTCCTCCTGGTCCTCCTCCTCCTCCTCCTCCTCCTCCTCCCCCACCCACATATATAGCGTGGACCTCCCTGAGAGAGCCCCCACTCTCGAAGCCTTCTCCAGTATCCAGGGTGAGCATATCCAGGCCAGGCGTGCGTACCTCGACGGTTCGGCTAAATCGGCCGACCTTCGCATCGCGCGAGCAGGACGGGGTGTAGCCCCGGTGTAGCCTTCGATTCCAGGATGATCCCGAGAAAGATGTGTTGACGGTTCGTATTCGGTTAGTTGTTCAGAGTTGCCCGCAGTGTATTGGTGTTGCTCCTTGTTCACGCAAGGACCCCTCGAGATCTTGACGGACAATGCTCTGGGTTTGTTCGAGGCTGGAGGCGACGCTACTAGGTGTCTCCGCAACGTCCTCAGAAGCAGCGGTGGCAGAGAATCCAGCAGGCCATCCTCCAGAGCTCTGAGCGTGCGGCACAGGTTACAGTCCAGAAAGTGCAATTCCCATCTGGATGTAGTTAGCCTTAGAGTTGCCCCCCTCCAGCCCTGGCTCGTTTCCCTGAGGTGACGAGAGGGCGGATGTCTTGGCCCAGAGAGGCATCGATAAGGCCGTTAATCTGATCCACCCCGAGTTGACCTTTTTCTGATATTTTGGGGGCCCTCCTCCAGCGTGTCCAGAAGCGCCTCGCGGTCATCTCGACTGTTGTGTCCTCGGGCCCCATGGTCGGGCGCCAGCGCCCACCTCCGACGTCGAGGCACGCGAGGATATCCACGCCTCGGCAGGTGCTCGAGCGTGACACGGGGCACGGCATGAGACAACACCCTGAGGACACGAAGGGGGTGGTTTTGCTTCCATCGTAAGTTAGGACCCACCCCAGCGTCGGTCGAGAGTTGGATGCAGAATGCCCCATGCCACGGGAGGAGGTACGCATCGCAGTACAGCGTTCCCCTTGTCATTCCTTCCTCCCGGTACCCCTCCCTCGTTGTCGGGGGCAAGACGGTGCACCCATCTCGTTCCGTGCAGGTAATGGATGGCCGGTTGTGGTGCACGAAATGTGCACGTCTGGGTAGTTCCACGGGCACAGGCGGTGGGAAGCCTTTCCGGTTGAGTTCAGACGGTCCTGGAAGCGTTGGCACCGACAGGGCCAAGGAGGCCCTCAGGCCTCTTGCTAACTTTCAGTCTTTCAACGATAAGGCGAAGGTGTGGCCCAATAGGGACCCCATCAAGCTCCTCCAGGCCCGTAGTGCCAGGCGAGCCCGTATCATCAAGTAAATTGACCGGCTGTAGGGCTGCGTCGCGTTGGGTGCCACGACCGATCCCCCCCTCCGTCGGCCGATCCTGCTCCTTCCCCACCACTCTTCCCCTCATCAGTAACCCCTCCTCCTCCTCCTCCTGCTCCTCCTCCTCCTCCTCCTCCTCCTCCTCCCGTGGCCATTTTGGCTCAAGCCATTCCGGCTCTCAGTCGCCATGCCGCCCCATTCCCCGCCCCGAGGCGGCAGCGAGGGCCAGGCAGGACCGCCGGCGCGCGCGGCGAGGGCGGGCGCCTGCCGCCGCCGCCGCCCGCGGCGTCGGCGCAGCGGCACGTTCGGCCCGGTCGGCCTGGGCTGTGGCGGAGGCGGCAAAGATCAGGAGGGAAAGAAACACACAGACACAATGAATCCTCGATTTCTTTGAAAATATGGAAAAATATTGGAAGTGGGGGGGAAGACAAAAAACCCTGGAAATATTGGGAATCCTGCTATTTGTGTGTATTTATTTGTGTGGCCCAGGGCCCCTTCAAAAGAGATGAGCACGGAAGTTCGGGGAGGTGAAAGAGGGCCCCAAAAGAGGGCGCACGAGGGCCTTCTGAAGGCCCCTTGAGGGCCTTTTTCCCCAACTCCCAGCTAGGGCGCCAACCATTGCCACCCGCCCGAAACGCGCGCAGGACCCCGCAGGGCGGCTGTTGGTGCCCGGGGTGCGGCTGTGCGCGCGGGTCGCTTGCAACACCCGTGATGTGCTCACCCTGCAGCACCATGCAGGGCCTGGCAAGCCTCAACAGCGGCGCGCAGGGAGCGGCGGAAGGAGCCGTCGCGCCAGGAGGAGGAGATGCCCAGGGGCAGCGCGCAGGAGCTCGCGGGCGGGCGGTCGCACCAGACGGTGGAGAACCTCACTGGTCACGGCGCCGAAGCTGGAGAAGGAACCGCGGGTGGAGAAGGCCTCGAGGGAGACCGAGGGCGAGGCTGAGCACGACGACGCCCTCGCGGGGCGGCGGGGCAGGACCCAGGACGGCCGGCGGGTCGCCCGGCCGCCGGGGCGCGGGCGCGGGGCGAGGTCCGGAGGCCTCGAGGGCGAGCGCCTCCAGAGGAGTGCGGCGCCGCCGTGCCGAGTGGGGCCCCGCAGTGCCCCTCGGTTGCCTCGACCGCGGCTCTGTGCCAATTCGTTCCGAACGGCACCATGTGATCGGCTGCAGGTCACCGAGCGCGCTCCACTACTCGCAGAGTGCCCACTCGCAAGGCGTTCGAACAACAGCTGTGCACCTCCATGTGGTACATCGTAGACCCACCGCGGCGGATCGAGGCCATTTGCGAGTAGCTGCTTTGTGGGGGAACGCGCCTGTCCACGAGTGATCGGCTGTAGGGCCGCGGAGGTGCGCGGCGCCGTGCGGCGGCGTGGGCGGTCGGCGCCGACGCGCGGAGGAGGCCGCGGAGGGCGGCGGCCTGGCGGCCAGCTGCGGGCGACCCACTGCGCGGCGGCCGACGCCACGGGGGCGTGGGCTGCGGTCGTCGGTGGTCACGGCCGCTGCCGTGGAGGGCTGCAAGCCTGAATGAAGCATACAAAACGTTCAAGAGAGGGCTTCGTTCCCTGAGATCCTGGCGACTCAGTTTTTTCGAGCCGGGCGTTTTCGCTCCATGTCGGGCCCCGGGTCCTTCACATATCGATCCGGCTTGAAAAAATGACGCAGAAAGATGGGGTCTGGGGGTCCGGTCGTGATTATGTTTGCGATGTTGCAATATGTTTGCAACGTCGGATATCAGGCTTTTCGTGTATCAAAGGAGTTCACAGTCGGACTGAGGCATAAGATCGAGGTCAGTTCGGGGAGGGTGCTTTCCTGTTCTTCGTGTGTGTATGTATGTGTGTCGGACGTTATTGTGCGTCCTGGGGGAGGGTACCCTCGGATGTTGTGTGTGTCTTGGCCGGCGGAGGGTCCCGTGTTCTTGAAGGATGTTCTTCTGGCTAATCAGACAAAGCGTTCAAAAAGCAGTCTCTTTTCCGTGGGTCGAAGGAGATTGTATTTCTTCCTCGGCGGAACGCCGGCGGAAAGCAGCGGAAGTAGAGCGAGGGCGCATCCGCCGGCGGAAGCTCGGCGAAGGCCGGCGGGAGTCAAACATCGCCCCCCCAAGCGTTGGCAAGGTTTCTTTGTTGGCTCAGGGTATTTTAAAGCTGCCATGTCCTCATCCCCATGGTTGACATCACCTTATCTCTATGTTGATCTTAAGGATCACCTCAGTTTCTGAGGACGCATCTCGAAGGTTATCAACACCTTTTTTTTGATTTGTCAATCAATCGCATAGGGATAAACTCGAGGCCAGTGAAACCGAACCGTCCTGAGGGAGCAGGGAGTTGCTTCTTGTTGTTATTCGTCCTACTAGTACTCGTATGAGCATGAATAGTATTATTCGCACTCGCATTGTCAGTACGAGTATTAAGAGCATTTCTGATTGCTCCTCATCCTTCTCCTCTTCCTCCTCCTCCTCCTCCTCCTCCTCCTCCTCCTCCTGTCTTCTCCTCCTTCTTCTTCTCCTCCCCCTCCTCCTCCCCCTCCCCCTCCTCCTCCTCCATCTCCTCCCCCTCCTCCGCTGAACGATAATCAACAACAAAGCACCTCTGACCGTCGTGACCGACGCTCGATCGACGGAAAACGTTCGAGGTCAGGGTAAAGCGCACCGTGCAGTTTCGCATTCGAGCGAGTGCTGGACCGATCGCAAGTCGTGCAACCCGTGCGAGCGGGAGGCGAGAACCTCTCGGGCCCCACTGGGGCCGATGCCTCCAGGACTGCGTGCCCCAGGCTGGCCCCTTGGGCACCCGAGCACCCCCGAGCTAGGGCCCACACCCCAGCAGGCAAGCAACGACGACGAGCAGGAACGACGAGGCGAGGGAGGCGACAGCGAGGAAGAGCAAGGACGGAGGAGGGGGAGAGGGCAAAGCAGGAGGAGAGCAAGCCGCAGCGGAGAGGGGTGTAGGGTCGCACTCAGTACCCTCTCGAATTACACGCGAGGACAGGAAAAGACGAGGGCAGAAGGGCGGAGCCTCGAAGTCGCGCGGGGCGGGTCTCACGGAGCTCAGGGGGTGGACGACGCCGAAGTTCAGGCGCAGGGGGAGGGCGCGATTCCCTCCCCCGTCCCTCCTCTTCCTCCTCCTCCTCCTCCTCCTCCTCCTCCTCCTCCTCCTCCTCCTCCTCCTCCTCCTCCTCCTCATCCTTCTCCTCCTCCTACTCCTACCCCTCCTCCTCCTCCTCCTCCTCATCCTCCTCCTCTTCATCTTCCTCCTCCTCCTCCTCCTACACGTTCTCCTACACCTCCTCCTACACCGCCTCCTCCTCCTCCTCCTCCTCCTCCTCCTCCTCCTCCTCCCTCCTCCTACTCACTCCTACTCCTTACTACTACTACTAACTACTACTACTACTACTACTACTACTACTACTACTACTACTACTAACTACTACGAACTACTACACTACTACGACTACTACTACTACTACTACTACTACTACTACTACTACTACTACTACTACTACTACTACTACTACTACTACTACTACTACTACTACTCTACTACTACTCTACTACTACTACTACTACTACTACTACTACTACTACTCCTACTCCTACTCTACTCTACTCTACTCTACTCCTACTCCTACTCCTACCCTCCTCCTCCTCCTCCTACTCCGCTACTCCTACTCTACTACTACTACTACTACTACTACTACTACTACTACTACTACTACTACACTACTACTACTACTACTCCTACTCTACTACTCCTACTCCTACTCCTACTCCTACTCTACTACTACTACTACTACTACTACTACTACTACTACTACTACTACTACTACGACTACTACTACTACTACTACTACGAACCGACGACGACGACGACGACGACGACGACGACGACGACGACGACTACTACTACTACTACTCCTACTCCTACTCCTACTCCTACTCCTACTCCTACTACTCCTACTCCTACTCCTACTCCTCCTCCTCCTCTACTCCTCCTACTCCTACTCCTCCTCCTCCTCCTCCTCCGACTCCTCCTACTCATACTCCTCCTCTTCCTCCTCCTCCTCCTCCTCCTCCTCCTGCCCCCCTGTTGAATGGGGCCGCGTGGGGGATGTTCGCTCTAGGGCGCAAGCGACGCAGGTGTTGGGGGGGGCGGCCTGGGGCCTTGGCGGCGCGGGCTCGCACCTGATCATCCCAACCTTCCGCGCAGCCCTCGCGCGGGGGTGGGGTGCGTGCTCGCGTGTTCCCCCCTCCTCTCCGCCCATCCTCCTCCTCCCTCCTCCTCCTCTCCTCTCCTCCTCCTCCTCCTCCTCCTCCTCCTCCTCTTCCTCCTCCTCCTCCTCCTCCCACACCTTCTCCTACACCTCCTCCTACACCGCCTCTCTCACTCCTCCTCCTCTACTACTACTACTACTACTACTACTACTACTACTACTACTACTACTACTACTACTACTACTACTACTACTACTACTACTACTACTACTACTACTACTACTACTACTACTACTACTACTACTACTACTACTACTACTACTACTACTACTACTACTACTACTACTACTACTACTCCTACTCCTACTCCTACTCCTACTCCTACTCCTACTCCTACTCCTACTCCTACTCCTACTCCTACTCCTACTCCTACTCCTACTCCTACCTATTCCTTATTAGAATATACTCCTACTCCCCCCTCAGGCCGGCCATTAGGGGCCGCATCCGGGTGGTCCCATCCTAACCTGTAAAAAACAATACAAAATCAACATTTTTCTTATTTTTTCCTCTCGACATGGACGTCCTGTCGTCCACGGCGATAATCCATTGCAAAAAATACCACAAAGAGCACACGCGCGCGTTCATGTCAGAATCCTACCGAACACCGTGTGTTTGCAAGCATTTCAACATAAAAACATCAAAAACCCAATGCTTTTTCACAAAAATTGTACAAATTTCCCGCCCGGGCTCTCTTGCTGAAATCATAGGAAAACCATAGGAATCTTAAGAATTCTGTCAAATCCAGCGATTTCACGTCATCGCGCGGTGCACTCGCGATGCTCTGTCATGCACCCAGGCCGCGAATCCTGTGCAAAAAATACCACAAAGAGCACACTCGCGCGTTCATGTCAGAATCCTACCGAACACCGTGTGTTTGCAAGCATTTCAACATAAAAACATCAAAAACCCAATGCTTTTTCACACAAATGCTTTGGGGTGTCCTGTCAGACCGTCGGGCTTCCTCCGGCCACCTCTGGCTTCCTGCGGTGTACCGGGCCATTCTCGACTCGTCTGGCAATGCGTGCGCGGCATTCAACACGCGCTCGCAGGTTCCCGTCGGCAACCGCCATCGCGGCCGCATCAGCTGTACCAAACCGGCTGGCCGGTGTGACTTCGGCCCCCAGTTGTGCCAGCTTTGCTTCTTATGTCGTGGGAAGGCGGGTGGGACTGGGCATGCCATGCTTGACTCGCTCGAGCTGGCTAGCTTGACTCCTACTCCTACTCCTACTCCTACTCCTACTCCTCCTTCTCCTCCTCCTCCTCCTCCTCCTCCTCCTCCTCCTCCTCCTCTTCCTGCCCCCCTGTTGGATGGGGCCGCGTGGGGGATGTGCGCTCTAGGGCACAAGCGACGCAGGTGTTGGGGGGGGCGGCCTGGGGCCTTGGCGGCGCGGGCTCGCACCTGATCATCAATCATCCCAACCTTCCGCGCAGCCCTCGCGCGGGGGTGGGGTGCGTGCTCGCGTGTTCCCCCCTCCTCTCCTACTCCTCCTCCTCCTCCTCCTCCCTCCTCCTCCTCCTCCTCCTCCTCCTCCTCCTCCTCCTCCTCCTCCTCCTCCTCCTCCTCCTCCTCCTCCTCCTCCTCCTCCACCTTCTCCTCCTCCTCCTACACCTCCTCCTCCTCCTCCTCCTCCTCCTCCTCCTCCTCCTCCTCCTCCTCCTCCTCCTCCTCCTCCTCCTCCTCCTCCTTTCTCTCTCCCCGAAGCCGCGGAGCCCCCGCCTGAGAGCCTCACGCAGGAAGTTCTTCAACAGTCCACACGATCAAGCCGAGCAGGAAGTTCAGCTTTCCGGACCCCTGGCCAATACCCGCTGGACATCCGACGAATAGAGTTGTTTGTGTCGGTTCCTGGACGGCCACAGGGCTTCAAAAACCCGTTGAGCTACTTCGACCCATGGGCCCACATCTGAGGCAGGCGACCGAGGGTGCTTCTCCTCCTCCTCCTCCTCCTCCCGCTCTCTCCCCTTTCCCTCTTCTTCGGAGCCCCCCCCCCCTCCCCCCCCCGCCCCCTCCCGACCCCAGCCTCCTCCCCGCGAGCGCGAAGGACGCTGAGCCCCGCGAACAATCAGCAGCAGCCGCGGCCGCACCGAGCGCGCACCCGCCGGCGGCGTTCGGCGATGGGCGCACCGCGCTATCGGACGCCGCTCGGGGGACCTCGTACCCCCAGCATCCTCCCCCAGGTTTCTCCTCTCCGTCTCACCCTCACCATAAGCATCCTCATCCTCATCCTCCCCGCCGTTGCAGGCCTAGCGTTCCCAGCAGTCCCTAACGCCACCTGGTGTTCTCACCATCTCAGCAGGAAAGCGTCTTGTTGACGAGGACCAGCGGTGCTATAGAGTGCGTCACTCCAGAGCTCGGCGTCGATGCAGGATCCGTCAGTCAGTCGGTATCGTCCGCTTCTCGTTCCCTCAAGCCTCCTCCTCCTCCTCATCCTCATCATCCTCCTCCTCCTCCGCCAACTCCCACAGCCCCCAGCCAGCTGCAGACACTCCCAGGGGGGTGGGGTGGGAGGTTGCATGACGGGCCTTTGCGGCCATCTTGGCGCATGTTGGTAGTGTGGGTTCCCAACAGCGCGTCCGAGATATTGGGGCCCAGATGTTTCTGACTAGCATCTCCTATTGTGAATGTTGAGGGCTACAAGGGCTTGAGTGCACTTCCCTCAGCGCCTGCAGCGCGCTATGTCGAAAACGTGAACAGGCAAAGGTACGGGTACAGTGGTCATATAGACGTGAAGCTTTGAACGCAAATATGTAGAAGTACTAGTTTAGAGCTGCTGGTGTACAGGAGTAACTGAGCACACTAAACAGTTGTAGAGGTAGAGGTTGATGGGTTGCCGAGGTGTAGGCAGAGACATGGGGCAGGAGGCAAAGGGCGCATAGGGCAGACGCAGAGGGAGAGGCTGTGACATAGATGGACCAATGTAGAGGTACAGTAGGCTTAGAAACATCTGACGGCACAGCTAGGCTTGCCGCCCGACATCATAGCACCTGGCGATGTACGCGCTGCGCGCTGAGAAAAATTGTCGTTTCCCCTTCCCCCCCCCTCCCTCATTTTGTCCCTCCTCTGCATCACCTTCGTCCGCCCCCACTACCCCCCCTCCCCCACCCCCCATCCATCCACTCCCTCTCCATTCCCCCATCTCGCCCCCTCCGCTCCCCTCCCCCGTCCGCTCCTCCCTTCCGCTTCTCTCTCTCGCTTCCCCCTCCCCCCTCCCCCCTCCTTCCAGCCCCCACTTCCCAGCCCTGCCCCCCCCCTTCCGCACAGGTGCGCCGCCGAGAGAGAGAGGGAGAAATGGAGAAGGAGAGAGAGAGAGAGGTATATATATATATATACAGGAAGAGAGAGAGAGAGAGAGAGAGAGAGATGAGAGAGAAAAATCGTGGACTGTCCCCGCACCCAACCACCCCCAGGCGTTCGGATAGGGGCTTCAGAGGATCAGGACGGTCTGTGAAGGGAATACGGAGTGCGCGGGAAAAGCAGAAGGGGGCGAACGAGGAAGAGGATAATTTCCAAGCTCGCTATAGGCTCAACGGGTTGGTGAGCCCATCTTTGAGAATGAGGCGGCCGGCGGAGAAGTACTGGAGAGAGAGCAACTTGTTAGAATCCTATAGTGGGCCACAGGCAGGCCACAGCCCCAAAGCAAAAGGCATGGCAGAAATCCATCAGCTGGCGGCCTGGGAGAGAACCCGTCTCGGTGATCCTATGATAGGTTTCGGTCGTACCTCGGGATGTGGTCCCAACACCGCCCACGGAGGTTAAGAACCGCTCATCTCCCTTGCCAAAAGCACCCACTTCAAGTGCCACAGAGTCGGCGCGGCGCACCGGCTCCGTGACAGGTTCACGGGGCTTGGGGGCAGTGTTGCCGCCCTCCGCAAAGATTCCGACGCCACCTCTGAGGGCCACGTCATGGAGCGGCGCTGGCGACAAATGCATCGCGTTCCTCGCTGGGCCTGTGCCTGGCCTTCTGGAGTCCGCTGCGGAAGCCCTGTTGAGAGCGGGCCGGTCCGAGGGCGCCCACCCGAGCGCTCCAGGGAACCGAGCGACAGGAGCAGGCTGGTTTAGAGGCGCCCGTGCGGGCGCTCTGGGAATGCACGCGACGACGACAAGCAGTGGGAAGGGAAGGCGGGCCGGGTAGCCGATCTTATCCAGTTGGTTTGGAAACGCGGGTTCCTGCAGCTCCGTGGAGAGCTCAGAGGGTTGAAGGCTCGAAGCCGGCGGGCGAGGGGAGCCCCAGAGCTCTTTCTGGCTCCAGCAGGACTCCTCGCAGCGCCTCCTGTGAGCTGGCAGCGTGTCCAAAAATGCCTCCTCTGATTGTCACCTAGCGCGCTCCTCTACTCGCAAAGTGCCGATTCACCAGTGCTCGAGACATATCTGTTCGCCTCGAAGTAAAGCATCGTAAATCCCCCTCGGCGGAGCGAGGCCATTTGCGAATAGTTATTTTTGCGAGTGGTGGAGCGCGCTTGTCTAGATTGTTTCCCAGTGCGTGTGCAGTGAAGCTTTCCACAAGCTCCCACCCAGAGCTTCCAGAGCTCCCTCGAAGGACCTTGTACAGGCGCCTGTCGCCGTGGCCGGACGGCCCCACAGAGGCTCACAAGTGGCGAGCCCCGGGGGGCGAACAGGCGACAGGCCAGCACGGGGGGGCCTGCCAGCTTTGGGTGCGACAGGGGGGACCTGCGTGCAGCCTTCGCGGCTCGTGGGGGGGCGGTCGCGGCGCCTCGGCCGCCCCGTGAACGCGAACATTGGCACGTAGAATTAGAGCTGGCACCCCCAGCATCCCTAGACGTAAGTTGCTCCCATCGTACTTAAGGACCACATCCCAGAAATCATTTCGAGCACCCAGAAAAGTGCCGAAACAGTGTCGGACGAGTGTCTCCTAAGGCCCGACACGTGAAAACCCTCGAGTTTCGGTACCGTACTTTCTTGGTGCTCGAAATGGTTCCTGGTGGTCAAGGCTAAAGCAGGTTGGAACGTCATAACCCTAAAGACTCTGACGCGCGCTGGCTTTTCGCGGCGCGCCGCCCAGGCCGAGTGCGGACCCCCGTGGCTGGCCCTCCAGCACCCGAGGTCGTCTGAGGATGCCTGTTGCGGGCCAAGCTTCGACCTGCAATAAGACCCTCCTCAAGCGATCTCGGGTCCTCTCTCCCGCTCCTCTTGGGCCCACTCCTCTGGCCCTCCCCGCCAGATCCTCTAGCGGGCTTTTCTGTAGGAGCTCTTGGGCTCGCCCCTCCGGCCCCCCGCCGGACCCTCGAGCCAATGCCGCGGTTGCGCGCGGTCGGGCGTGTGGACGGATGGGGCGGTGGGCAGTCGTCGGGCACGGGCTTCGGAGGCGGGGAGGTCGGAGAAGCGGGGGGGGCTCGGTGCGAACAGCTCCCCGTCGACCAGGCGCCCGCGCCCTCGGAGTAGGCCCCAGCCCCGCAGCCCAAGGGTCCTCTCGGTGAAGGGAGGGAGGCGGGAAGGCCTGGGGGAGTCGGAAGCGGCGAGAGACAAATTGGAAGTGGCGAGATGGGGCGAGGAGCTCCTCCTCCTCCTCCTCCTCCTCCTCCTCCTCCTCCTCCTCCTCCTCCTCCTCCTCCTCCAGAGGGGCGAGGAGACCAGAGGGAACGAGAGGCGGCGAGAACCGGGGTGAGAGCCATTCCCATAGGTCGAGCCGCTGCCAGGGGAGTTGTGCTGGCAGGGGCAGCTGGCTATATCGAACGCCGCACAGGGAGACGGGGGATTTCACGAACCCTTCCCCCATCGGCCGCTGGAGCCGGGAGAGAATTGGGGCTCAGTGCCACCACCGTAGTCGAACGGGCGGCCAGGGCACGACTGTCCGCAGCGCGCTGAAGGGTCCTGCCGTGCATCGGGGGTCTGCGACTTCCCCGTCGCTTTCACATTCGGTGCATCTCCATCCCATCTCGATCTCGTCTTACTCCTCAGCATCGGCTCCCAGACTCCGTCTTCACCGACCGACCAGGGGTGGGAGGAGGGCGATGCCGAGGAGGGGGAGGATCCACCGCAGTTCGGCGGGCGCGGTGGGGTGCTGGGGCGGCCTTCGGCTCCGAGTGGTGGCGCGGTGGGCCAGCAGCAACACGAGGGGCACGGAGACATCTCGCTGCAGGAGGAGCAGGAGCCCGAGCAGCAGTGAGGGTGGGTGGGGAGGATGAGTGGCAGCAACAGGAGTAGAAGGAGCACAAGGATGGATGCCGTGGGGGAGGGAGTAATCATTTAGGAGGGCCAGGCCGAGACAACAGCGGCCCTGCCCGGCGTGGCTCGTCCTCTCAATTGCCTCCCGGGGGCTTCTCGCCGATGGATCCGCCTCGAAGAACAAGCCAGGGGTGGACCTGAACGGTGTTTTGGCGCTTTCGTGGGCCGTTTTCGTTTCGATTCCGTTTCGCGTGAAAGGCGGGCTGGAGACAAAACGACGAAAAACGGATACACAGAGCGAAAACGAAGAACACCGTTTGGGTCAAGCCCTGGAACAAGCCAGGATGGACCCGGGGAGGGCTCTGGGAACGGATTGGGAGCGGAGCTGGGCCGGGCGGGGTGCCGTGGTTGCCTCCGGTGGCCTTTCTCCGGTCACTGGGGCCCATCCTCCGCCGACCGCGGGCGGGGCGGGGGGGGCTCCGGCCGGGGGCACGGAGGAGCCCTGCGTCAGGACGTGGAGGAGGAGGAGGAGGAGGAGGAGGAAGAGGAGGAGAGGGAGGAGGAGGAGGAGGAGGGAGGAGGAGGAGGAGGAGCAGGAGCCGAGGCGGGGCGGGATCAGGAGCCCTGTGGCCAGAGGAGTGGAGGGATTGGGTGGGTGGAAGGGGAGGGGGGGGGGAGGAGGGGAGGGGGGAGGGGAGGGGAGAGGTGGAGGGATGGGGGAGAGGTGGGGGATGGGTCAAGACACCTCCCGCCCACAAGGCGCAAGCCGTCTCGATCACTCCCACCCGCCCTCCCAACACAGAAGTCGCACCCGCGCGTCCTTGCCAACAACGAATGCAAAGGTGTCGCGGTTCGCCCGCGCATGCTCCAGACTTGGAGGCAGAGTGCATCTTGCATGGTAGTGTGACACGGGCAACAGGCCGGCG